TATCTATATTAATAAAATCAGACTTCTGTCTGTACATTGCTCCAAGCTTGGAAAATTTTTATATATTTTTTCGTTTTGAGACATTAGAATTCGAAAAATGTAAAAAAAAAAATGTCTGTCTGTATGAAAAATTTTGTTCGCGCATCACTTGAAAACGGTTTAACCAATTAAAGTGAAATTTGCCAGTCTATTAGGTATTAACGTCGTAACTTAAAATCATGGCCTTATCCGATTAAAAAATATTAACTTGAACGAAAGTTATGACATTTTTCCAAAAAATTCGAAAAATCAAAAAAATGCAAATTTATTTTTTTTGTAAAATGAATGCAAAACTATCCTTAGCTAACTTTTTCAGTTAAATACAACGCATTTCTACAATAAAATTTTTAAAAAAGAAGTATTTTGAAATTTTGTTTCGTTTTTTTAGATCAACTTTTTTTTTTAAAAAAATAGTGATTTTTAATCTTTAAGCAATGCTTTTCAGGAAAAGTTATTAAACTTTTTTATTTAAAGATCAGTATCTAAAGTAAGAAATTTGCTACATTAGACAAAAATAATGAAGCTAAATGCCATAAAAGAGAAGAAAAAATGTTGAATTTTAAGAAATTCGGTTTATCGAATTTTTGAATATTTTCGATAATTTTTGGATTTTTACCAAAGGGTGGAGATTTTCAAGTAAGTAAAGTATTCTCTAAAAGCACAAAAATAATAAAGCTGAATGCCACAAAAAAGAAGAAAAAATGTTGAATTTTAAAAAATTCGGTTTTTTGAATTTTTGATAAATTTTGATAATTTTAGATTTTTTAAAAAAGGGTGGAGATTATTAAATCATTAAAGTATTTTTGAAAAGCACAAAAATATTGAAGCTAAATGCAGCAAAAAAGAAGAAAAAATGTCGAATTTTAAGAAATTCGGTTTTTCCGAATTTTTGAATATTTTCGATAATTTTTGGATTTTTACCAAAGGGTGGAGATTTTCAAGTAAGTAAAGTATTTTCCAATAGCACAAAAATAATAAAGCTAAATGCCATAAAAAAGAAGAAAAAATGTTGAATTTTAAAAAAATTCGATTTTCGAATTTTTGATAAATTTTGATAATTTTAGATTTTTTAAAAAAGGGTGGAGATTATTAAATCATTAAAGTATTTTTGAAAAGCACAAAAATATTGAAGCTGAATGCCATAAAAAAGAAGAAAAAATGTTGAATTTTAAGAAATTCGGTTTTTCGAATTTTTAAATATTTTTGATTTTTTACCAAAGGGTGGAGATTATTAAAATAATAATTAAAATACTAATTCGGTAGTAATAGCCATTACTACCGAAATAGCTAATGGTAACTAATTATTAATTTTCCAGTTAAACTAAATTCCCAGCTATTTTCTGATTTTTCAGATTGGTAGAAACATATTGTTAAATGTATATTGGTAGAAACTAAAACCCATCGAAGACGGGTACGACAGCTATAGTTTATACATATAACTACAATATTGAACGTATTCTCCTTTCTTTATTGAATATAAATTTCATCACGTTTGGGTGGTCCAGATGTAAAAATTAGGGTAAGCTTTCAATGATTATGAGTGTGTAATGAAACATAAGCGTCTGAGTCTAGTCTAGAATATCGAAGGCAGTTGACACCGAGAGACTTGTTCCAACTGCGTTTTATATTTAGCGATCTGAACTCCTTTACTGCACGTGTATGTATATATTTTCAGGGCGGAAATCCCTTTCTTGCGGAAGGGACAAAAAATTTAGGTTATAAATACACAATTCTACATTCAAAACATATCAAACATATATAATTATGTAATTTTCACTTTTTTACTTCATTAATTACGAATTAACTATTATTGCACTTAATTAATAGTTAATGCTATATAATATTTTAGAATCTGAGTTCACTTTTGACTAAAACCGTTTAGATTATATATATATATATATTTTTTTTTTTTTTTTTTTTTTTTTTTTTTATAAATGAATGGTTGTCAATTTAAAAGACGTCTATAGTTTTCAATTTTTTTTATAAATGAAGGTTGTCAATTTAAAAGACATCCATAGTTTTCAATTCATAATAATATACATCATGTACCTGTCATATTGTAAGAATCTTTAAAGAGATGAAAACATCAAAACACAGGTTATTTTGAAAATTCTACCTGCGAAGGAGAAAATTGTCCCTCGATTCGTTACGCCTCCTTGGCTGCTTGGCGCGAAATAGCAGGTGCGTAAATAATGAAACTAAGATAAATTGCGAACACTGGATTCTTTTTTTTTCTATGACATTTTTTAACGCGCACTCTGTGTGTATATGGGGGGCCGGAAAAATCTGCGGGGGGTTCAAGTAGGTAGATATTATAAAAATAAGGGGTAGGTGGTTTTTTTCAAGAGACTATATATATAGAGAGAGAGACATACATACCAAGCGTATATAGTAAGTAGTTGATGGAAGAGTCAACTGTAAACCGCGCGGTCTCAAAATAATCTCATTCTCGGGTTCGTGTGCTGTATCGTCATGTTACTCTTGTTTAAATGCCGGTAGTTTTGTGTGTGTACTCTCTCGCTCTCATTTTCCCTATTTTTCTCTTTATTCAATCTCTATTTCTTTCTTCTTCGATTTCTTTCTCTCTCACTCTAATTATAGTTAGAGAAAGATTCCTTAGGGATACTTATTAAAAATTAACTATATAGATAGATTCATTAGGGATACTTTTTAAAAATTATTTATTATTATTTTTTAACGAAAGGTTTCTTAAGGGTGCTAGTTGGTGGTAGAAAAACTACTAATTAGTAGTAAAATACTAGTTAGTAGTGAAAATAATAATTACTAGTAATAGTTAATAGTAGTAAAAATACTAGTTAGTAGTAAAAAATACTAGTTAGTAGTAAAAAATACTAGTTAGTAGTAAAAAATACTAGTTAGTAGTAAAATACTAGTTAATAGTAAAATACTAGTTAGTAGTAAAAATACTAGTTAGTAGTAAAAATACTAGTTAGTAGTAAAAAAATACTAGTTAGTAGTAAAAATACTAGTTAGTAGTAAAAAATACTAGTTAGTAGTAAAAATACTAGTTAATAGTAATAGTTGATAGTAGAAGACTACTGGTTATTAATAAAAAAAACTACTACTTGTTAGTAGAAAACTACTAGTTATTAATAGAAAACTACTTAATAGTAGAAAACAAATAGTAAGTAGTAGAAAAACTACTAGTAAGTAGTAAAAAATACTGGTTAGTAGTAACATTCTAGTTTGTAGTAAAAATACTAGTTAATATCAATAGTTACTAGTAGAAAACAAGTAGTAAAAATACTAGTTAGTAGTAAAAAAATACTAGTTAATATTAATAGTTATTAGTAGAAAACTACTAGTTATTAGTAGAAAACATGTAGTAAGTAGTAGAAAACAAGTAGTAAGTAGTAGAAAAATACTAGTAAGTAGTAGAAACACTAGATAGTAGTAAAAATACTAGTTAATAGTAATAGTTAATAGTAAAAAACCTATTAGTTATTAGTAGAAAACTACTTAATAGTAGAAAGTAAACTTAATAGTAGAAAACAATTAGTAATTAGTAGAAAAAACTACTAGTTAGTAGAAGCAAATACTAGGTCGTAGTAGTAGCGTATGTGACATTCTTCGACTTTCTACACTCGCCTATTGACGTTTAGTTAGAAAATTTGCAAGCCGCTAAATTTTAACTCTTACCGCCCCTTCCCCCCCCTTGGTTTTACCCCTTCTCCTTTATTTCCAAGCAAAAAATTCTTTAATTTCCTTTATTTTTATTGCATTTAGTCTCTCTCTCTCTGTCTCTCTTTCTCTTTGACTTTCTCCGCGCTTATAATAATACTCGAGAGGCAAAAGGAGAAGATCGGACGTTGAGCTTGAGGCTGAGCACCCTCTAATTATGGCGCGATTTTCGTTATCGATCCTTCGATCGTTCTCCTCTCTTACAACTAACAGAGCTTATAGTAGTCGAGACACGGTTAAAATTATCCACGAAAAGAATTTCTTCTAATCCATCAAAATATTATTCACATTTTTCTCCTTTTTTTTTTTTTTTTTGAAAAAAGGATAAAAAAAAATTAAAATAAAAGGAAAACATTTTTCAATTTGACTTATTCGTTTCAAATAACATATAGATAAAAATCGATAATAATTCTTTTGGAAAAGTGTACACAACTCTTGAGGTAAAATAAAATAAACTAGTTTTTTTTTTATAAAAAATACTAGTACTCTTCAGTAAAGGAAAAATTTTTCTTTTTAGTAAACAACTATTTGTTTTTAATAAAAAAATTGTTTTTTTAGTAAACAACTAGTACTTTTTAGTTAAAAAATATTTTTTAATAAAAAATTAGTTTTTTTAAAATAAAAACTACTTTTTATAAACAACTAGTTTTTTTTAGATAAAAAGTAGTGTTTTAATAAAAAAAAACTAGTTCTTTTTAGTAAACAACTAGTTTTTCAGTAAACAACTAGATTTTTTTAGTAAAAAAACTAGTTCTTTTTAATAAACAACTAGTTTTTTTAGTGTTCCTATTTTTTTAAATAAACAACTAGTTTTTTTTAGTAAAAACTATTTTTTTGTGAATAACTAGTTCTTTTTAGTAAACACCTAGATTTTTTAGTTAAAAAAGTATTTTTTTTAAGTAAAAATTAGTTTCTTTAAGTAATAAACAGTTTATTTTAGTAAAAACTAATTTTTTTAGTGAAAACTATTTTTTCTAGTTAACAACTTTTTCAGTAAAAAAAACTAGTTTTTTTAGTAAACATTAATTGTCTTTAGTATAAAAAACTATTTTTTCAGTAAAAATGAATTGTTTTTAGTATAAAAAAAACTTTTTTTTAGTAAAAATATTCAAAAACTTTTTTTTAAATATTTGAAAACAATTTTTGAAAATGAAAAAAAATTTAATAATAACCGAGGCCTGTATAATAAATATTAAAATTCTTAATTTTTAGAATATTCAAAAACTGTTTTTTTTTTGTAAATGATAAAAAAAACTCACCATGTTTTAATCGTACTCCCCGGGAAGCGATGGCATTTTCCATAAAAATAACAAGAAACAAAAAAACCAGAATTCTCGTCCTGGTGGCCATGACTTTTTTTTTCATTTATTTTTAAAACACTCGCACTTTCGAAAAAACACTTTTTAACGCACTGCTACCAAATTTCTTACATAATTAACATACAAATTAATAATTAAATTACTCTTTAAAAACGATTGTGACACACTGTTTGACGATCCAATCATCACGAAACACTTTTTTTTTTATTTTTCTTTATTCAAACAAAAAATATGCAAAATTTCCAATTGAACTTTTTTTTTATCACTTTTCTCAGACATTCTTGTTTTTCAAAAGAAACGAAATTTTCACATTCTTTAAAAAAAATTACGAACAAGGTATAATAACAAAAAAAAAATTGAAAATTAAAAGAAACGAATTTTTCTTTTTTTTCTAAATTAAAAATTTTGAAATTTACGAAAAGGAGAGAAATGCGAAAAATTTGGAAAAACCTCGTGGTTTGAAATAGATGGAGGGGGGTAAAAAAAGGACGACAATATAGTGAATAGGAGAAACACGCGATGTCAATGCCGCGAGCAAACTAAACCCGAGGAGAACTCTCCAGACTAACCCGAACCACCGACACCTCTCTGTCACTCCCACCCCAATCATCCCCGCCCTGTGAAACCCATGTGCAGGTAAACGAGACCGAAAGAGCTACCTGTTATATTCGGGCGGGAGGGGGGAAAAGGTGCCAGAACAATAGCTACCTAAATTTTCGACTCATTAGAAAACAATAAATAATATTACATAAATCAGATTAGCCACGCACTTATTATTACCAGTCGTAACCAGCAGAAGTTATTTTTCTTAACTGTCTATATAATTAACTTTAAATGACTCGTCAATAATCTCTCTAATTTTGAATTAGTACCTACTCTCTAAATTCAAATTCGTAATTTTCTACTAAAAACTAGTGTACATTCGTTTACCAATAAAAATAGTATATTTTGAAAATTTTTTATTAAAAAACTACTAGTTAGTGGTGGAAAGTAATAGTTAGTAGTAGAAAACTACATAAAAAACCACTAGTTAGTATAGTAGAAAATTACATAGAAAACTACTTAGTAGTAGGAAACAACTAGTCAGCAGTAGAATACTACTTAATAGTAGAAAACAACTAGTAAGTAGTAGAAAACTACTAGTTAGTAATAGAAATCAACATAAAAAACTACTGTTTAGTAGTAGAAAATTATGTAGGAAATTGCTGGTCAGTAGGAAAAAAAACTACATAGAAAACAACTTAGTAGTAGAAAATCACATAGAAAGCTATTTAGTCAGCAGTAAAAAACATCTAGTCAGTAGTAACAAAAACTACTACTTAGTAGAAGAAAACTACTAGCTAGTAGTAGAAAATCACATAGAAAACCACTAATAAGTATTTTAAAAAACTACTTAGCAGTAGAAAACTACTTAATAGTAGAAAAATTAGATAGTACTACAAATACTAGTTTGTAGTAGAAAAATACTAGTTGGTAGTAGAAAGCACTAGTTAGTAGTAGAAAATTACTTAGAAGAAGAAAACAACTAGTCAGTAGTAGAAAACTTCTAGTTAGTAGTAGAAATACTACGTAGTAGTAGAAAAAACTAGTTACTAGTAGAGAAAAATACTAGTTAGTAGAAATAAAACAAGTTGTTAGTAGTAGAATACTACTGATTCTTTAGTAGGTCGTTTTGACAATTTCCAACTTACGAACGAATTAGTAGCTTTCTACAACCCGCAATTAGTATAGAAAGCTACTAAAGTTGATAAAAACTGTTCTTAATTCAATAAATGATTCCGCACCATTATCATTACCAAAAACTACTAACCGAACGCAGTAAAATAACCAATATTTAGTAAAAAAGAATTAAAAATTTATTTCTTCAAAATTTAATAATTCTAATCATCGGGAAATTTCCTAGAAGGGACTCAACTCTACACAATCAAAATTTGGTAAAAAATATTTAAAAAATTTATTTCTTCTAAATTTTTTAATTGTAATCATCTGAAACTTTCCTGAGTCCTAGTAGGGACTCAGCCCTACACAATCATGAAGAATAGAGAATTTTATTTCAATTTTTAAGTAGTAGCACCACCACCCGAATGCTATCAGACAATTGAAATTTGTTAAAAAATATATAAAAAATTTATTTCTTTCAAAAATAAAAATTCTAATTATCTGAAAATCACCTGAGTTCTAGTAGGGACTCAGCCCTACACAATCCTGAAGAATAGAGAATTTTATTTCAATTTTTAAGTAGTAGCACCACCACCCGAACGCTATCAGACAATCAAAATTTGGTAAAAAATATTTAAAAAATTTATTTCTTGTAAATTTTTTAATTGTAATCATCTAAAACTTTCCTGAGTCCTAGTAGGCACTCAGCCCTACACAATCCTAAAGAATAGAGAATTTTATTTCAATTTTTAAGTAGTAGCACCCTCACCCGAACGCTATCAGACAATCAAAATTTGGTAAAAAATATTTTAAAAATTTATTTCTTCCAAGTTTAATAATCGTAATCATCTAGAAATTTCTTAAGTCTTAGTAGGGACTCAGCCCTACACAATCATGAAGAATAGAGAATTTTATTTAAGTTTTTAAGTAGTAGCACCCTCACCCGAACGCTATCAGACAATCAAAATTTGGTAAAAAATATTTTAAAAATTTATTTCTTGTAAATTTTTTAATTGTAATCATCTGAAACTTTCCTGAGTCCTAGTAGGGACTCAGCCCTACACAATCCTGAAGAATAGAGAATTTTATTTCAATTTTTAAGTAGTAGCACCCTCACCCGAACGCTATCAGACAATCAAAATTTGGTAAAAAATATTTTAAAAATTTATTTCTTGTAAATTTTTTAATTGTAATCATCTGAAACTTTCCTGAGTCCTAGTAGGGACTCAGCCCAACACAATCCTGAAGAATGGAGAATTTTATTTCTATTTTTAAGTAGTAGCACCCTCACCCGAACGCTATCAGACAATCAAAATTTGGTAAAAAATATTTTAAAAATTTATTTCTTCTAAATTTTTTAATTGTAATCATCTGAAACTTTCCTGAGTCCTAGTAGGGACTCAGCCCTACACAATCATAAAGAATAGAGAATTTTATTTCAATTTTTAAGTAGTAGCACCCTTACCCGAACGCTATCAGACAATCAAAATTTGGTAAAAAATAATTAAAAAATTTATTTCTTGTAAATTTTTTAATTGTAATCATCTGAAACTTTCCTGAGTCCTAGTAGGGACTCAGCCCAACACAATCCTGAAGAATAGAGAATTTTATTTCAATTTTTAAGTAGTAGCACCCTCACCCGAACGCTATCAGACAATCAAAATTTGGTAAAAAATATTTTAAAAATTTATTTCTTCCAAGTTTAATAATCGTAATCATCTAGAAATTTCTTAAGTCTTAGTAGGGACTCAGCCCTACACAATCCTGAAGAATAGAGAATTTTATTTCAATTTTTAAGTAGTAGCACCCTCACCCGAACGCTATCAGACAATCAAAATTTGGTAAAAAATATTTAAAAATTTATTTCTTCTAAATTTTAATAATCGTAATCATCTAGAAACTTCCTGAGTCCTAGTAGGGACTCAGCCCTACACAATCCTGAAGAATAGAGAATTTTATTTCAATTTTTAAGTAGTAGCACCCTCACCCGAACGCTATCAGACAATCAAAATTTGGTAAAAAATATTTAAAAAATTATTTCTTCTAAATTTTTTAATTGTAATCATCTGAAACTTTCCTGAGTCCTAGTAGGGACTCAGCCCTACACAATCCTGAAGAATAGAGAATTTTATTTCAATTTTTAAGTAGTAGCACCCTCACCCGAACGCTATCAGACAATCAAAATTTGGTAAAAAATAATTAAAAAATATATTTCTTCTAAATTTTTTAATTGTAATCATCTGAAACTTTCCTGAGTCCTAGAAGGGACTCAGCCCTACACAATCATGAAGAATAGAGAATTTTATTTCAATTTTTAAGTAGTAGCACCCTCACCCGAACGCTATCAGACAATCAAAATTTGGTAAAAAATATTTAAAAAATTATTTCTTCTAAATTTTTTAATTGTAATCATCTGAAACTTTCCTGAGTCCTAGAAGGGACTCAGCCCTACACAATCATGAAGAATAGAGAATTTTATTTTAATTTTTAAGTAGTAGCACCCTCACCCGAACGCTATCAGACAATCAAAATTTGGTAAAAAATATTTAAAAAATTTATTTCTTGTAAATTTTTTAATTGTAATCATCTGAAACTTTCCTGAGTCCTAGTAGGGACTCAGCCCTACACAATCCTGAAGAATAGAGAATTTTATTTCAATTTTTAAGTAGTAGCACCCTCACCCGAACGCTATCAGACAATCAAAATTTGGTAAAAAATATTTAAAAAATTTATTTCTTGTAAATTTTTTAATTGTAATCATCTGAAACTTTCCTGAGTCCTAGTAGGGACTCAGCCCTACACAATCCTGAAGAATAGAGAATTTTATTTCAATTTTTAAGTAGTAGCACCCTCACCCGAACGCTATCAGACAATCAAAATTTGGTAAAAAATATTTAAAAAATTTATTTCTTCTAAATTTTATAATTGTAATCATCTAGAAACTTTCCTGAGTCCTAGTAGGGACTCAGCCCTACACAATCCTGAAGAATAGAGAATTTTATTTCAATTTTTAAGTAGTAGCACCCTCACCCGAACGCTATCAGACAATCAAAATTTGGTAAAAAATATTTTAAAAATTTATTTCTTCTAAATTTTTAATATCGTAATCATCTGAAACTTTCCTGAGTCCTAGTAGGGACTCAGCCCTACACAATCCTGAAGAATAGAGAATTTTATTTCAATTTTTAAGTAGTAGCACCCTCACCCGAACGCTATCAGACAATCAAAATTTGGTAAAAAATAATTAAAAAATATATTTCTTCTAAATTTTTTAATTGTAATCATCTGAAACTTTCCTGAGTCCTAGTAGGGACTCAGCCCTACACAATCCTGAAGAATAGAGAATTTTATTTCAATTTTTAAGTAGTAGCACCCTCACCCGAACGCTATCAGACAATCAAAATTTGGTAAAAAATATTTAAAAAATTATTTCTTCTAAATTTTTTAATTGTAATCATCTGAAACTTTCCTGAGTCCTAGTAGGGACTCAGCCCTACACAATCCTGAAGAATAGAGAATTTTATTTCAATTTTTAAGTAGTAGCACCCTCACCCGAACGCTATCAGACAATCAAAATTTGGTAAAAAATATTTAAAAAATTATTTCTTCTAAATTTTTTAATTGTAATCATCTGAAACTTTCCTGAGTCCTAGTAGGGACTCAGCCCTACACAATCCTGAAGAATAGAGAATTTTATTTCAATTTTTAAGTAGTAGCACCCTCACCCGAACGCTATCAGACAATCAAAATTTGGTAAAAAATAATTAAAAAATTTATTTCTTGTAAATTTTTTAATTGTAATCATCTGAAACTTTCCTGAGTCCTAGT